ATGCGGATGTGTGAGTGTAGAACGGAATCGTATGACGTTGTGTTGATTGTGATGAAGCCCCATCAATCATTTGTGATGTTTTTGACGAAACTAGAGTGATGTTTTTACACGTTTCTACCAGGCGAGCAGGAAGTGTATGCTGTTAGATTGAGTTGCCGGGCGTTTCCCGTTCTATTTGACCTCCTTCAGTATGGAACCAAAGGAAAACAAATAAAACAAGATACGAGCTGTGCTACGTCATTTAAACATGAATTATAAATTTCAATTCTGCATAAAGCGTACGCGAATTTAATTTGTATGAAATTAAGATTTTTAGTGAAAGTAATTGTTCTTTAAAGATTACTAAATTCAAGATTAAAAAGATTAGATTAGAGACAGATGTTTATATAAAAATATGCGTTTGGTTTATTGCGTGTCTGTAATAATGAGAGACCCTAAAAAAATAAACTGAAGCATTTTAGGTGACCGAGCGAAAAGAAACGCTTGTAAATGCTGAGCAGGAGTTCATAAAATCGACGAATATGTAGGCTGTAGTTGTAAAATGTTTATAGAGTTAATTCAAATGTTCTGCCATTTATTTATTTAATTATCAAAAATTGCGCAGAATCGCGTGTAGTGCCAAATTCTACGCGTCTTGGGACTTACAAAAATATTCATTATAAACATAAATTTGGAACAGGTCACATGAATTCGAGGTATTCGGTTGAGAATTACAAACCAAACGCAGAGCAAACAAGCAAGCGACTCAAAGGAATTAGCACTTTCCGTACCGGAAACAACCAACCGAACCTTGTTGCTTAGCGATGACGTTGAGCTGATAGTCAGTTCCCAACATGCGAGTCCATAAAATGCTAGTACGGTTAACAGTACCGTTATATTGTTATAAACAATTCCACGCAGTCGCCCAACCTCACGTCGCAACGTTGATTGGTGTACCGGGTCGGACGGAGGATGGCGGTGGACACAGAAGCAATATACATTCTAAAATATTGTTAAATTGTATTAGGACGCTGAGAGCAGCCGGACGTGCGTTTGTTGCTGCGCGTCGCGCATTTGTTGTGTCGGTGGCGTGATTAACTATCAGCGATTAACGGCATTCAAATGGCTGAATGTTTTTCCAGCGAGCGGCCGGCAAGTGGGACCTGCGATGGCGGGTGCATGTGTGATAGTAGAAATAATATCGAATATATGAAATAATTTTAATAATAACCTCGAAAATACGAGAAACAAAATTCTTAATCTGAAATATAAAATAAACAATTTTATTTTACAAAAAATAACATGACTTGAATGGAAACGTTTTTCTGACAGTTAAATAAATTTATTTGTTTAATTAAACAAAATTTCATCAAAAAAATAAAAAATCATTACCAATAAATTAAACTTATAGCACAAGTAAATTTGGTATAAATATTAATGTAATATTGTATATATTTCATTCTTCTTATCGACTGCCTGCCTGCTGACTCTACTCTCCTCGCTTGATTCCGCTAGAAGATTCCCTTCCCTTTGTATTAGATCTAACCACTAAATCTAGTACATATATGCAGCAGGAGAGCAGAACGCGAGGCAGGCGTGCGTGCCGCGTATGGGAATCAATGACGTAACATATGTGAACTGTGGACCCTGCTGCTCGGTCGTCGTGGTTGAGTTTGCGTTCGCGAGCAGCAACAGGCGCTGACATGAAGTGCCGTATAGCAGTATAAAAAGTGAATGGGTGGGAGAACGCAGGAAACACGGGGCGGTTCCTGCATCGGCGGCAGTAGCCTGCTGCATGCGGTGTTATGTTATGCGATCCTGGTCGATGGTGTACGACGGCGACCGCGCTCAAAACGACAGTTTTGACAAAAACGACTCCATCACTCAGCAGGAGATTGGAGAGTGAGGCCGATGACGTTGGTTTAATAAATGAATATCGCTGCACGTTGGTATTAATTACACATAATATTATTTGACTTAATTATTTCGTACTATCATTATCGAATTTTATTTTGCTTATTAAATTGTGCTTGAGAATATGTGTAGCAGTAATACAACTGTTAATATTTAGGTATGTACTGGTACAATTTGGTCTGATGTGAATTTTTGGGTACAGAAAATAGCAACTTCTCGTGTTTACCTGTTCTCCTTTTTTGAAAGCGCGGGAGGCAGTTGTTGTAAATTGAAATCGTTCAAATAGACGCAATATTAATAAAAAACGAATAATAAAAATTCGTCGTTTTTATGCTGTTTTACGCGTTAAAACGCAGATTAAAGCTCAAAACGTGCTGTTTTGCTAAAATAAGCATTTTCAAGCATTTTAGATCGTTGAAATCGTTCAAATAGACGCAATATTAATAAAAAACGAATAATAAAAATTTCGTCGTTTTTGTGCTGTTTTACGCGTTCAAACGCAATGGTGCGATTCTGAGCAGCACCCGAAGTGCCGTAGTGCCGAACGAACGCTATTTGCGATTCTGAGTGGCCAATGGAGGTTTTTTGGAAAGTTCGGGTTGCCTCAATCTTTCGAGCAGCTTGAGGGTGCCGATAGCCTTCGTAACATGTTATACGCATGCGCTACTCCCTTGGCGCGGGTGAAACTGCCTTATTGCAGCTCTTCGTTCTCACTTGCACCCGCATTCGCTGTCTGCTGTCTCAGTCTGCCTATTCATCAAAATTGGTAAAGTGAAATATTTTGACGAGCCGTGTGCTCAGCAGATGTGAAAAAAGATGAAAATGAAGAGGAATTGCACACATCGAATATATCTGCATTTTTCAAATGTAAAAATCCACGGTTGCAAGTAAAATTTCGAAATTTAAAAAAAACTCATAAAACCAATTAATTTGAGATTAGTAAAAAGCATGTAAAAGGTTATTTATATTTTTCGATTACGTTTCTTCAAAAGTAATTTAAAATCAAAACAATGAATAATAACAACTATTGATTGCGACTTTTCAAACCTCTGTATAAAACTGAAATAGAAATAATAAGTATTAATACATATTTGATGCATATTTGGATAATTGAAAAACTCATATATTTGAAACTCGCGCGCTTTCTGTCAAATTCTAGGGTGCAGCGGGATTGACTTTAGGTAAAGTCATAGATGAGCGCTCAGAATACCACTTAAGGCAGAACCGTAACATTGGCGTAAGAAGCGTCTCGAAGCTTTCGTACGTACGTTCGTTACGTGGTGAACACAGAATCGCACCATAAAACAATGGAAAATAAAAAAACAAAATCTTTGCGAAGTTGTAATTCATGAATTACAAACTTGCAAAAGAAATTACATTCGTCGAAGAATGATTACCATTGTTTTGTGGTAGAATCCAATTACTGGTATGAAACCAACTTCAAGTCGCAAATGATTATTAATATTAAAAACACCACCCCCGACCACTGATTTTGCATCTTAATTTGACGACTCACTCTTTGCTTTAAATACGTATGTATGGAAAACAATCAATCACTAAATAAAATACTATAAAATTTATTATTTTATACCTTTAAGCCCTTCCTCATATTTTTATTTTTTATTGATAAAGTCTTAGCGTGTGACGACTTTAGTGCCTCGTCACGGTGACCTTAGTACCTCGTCACGGCTTCCCCAAAACCTATGTGCCTGAGTATGTAGCTTCTCGCTCCGGCATCCATAAATCAATGTGTTTCCATTCTTATCGCTCCTCCATAATCAAAAGTGTTGTAATTTTTATTACTACTTGATTTATGTAGTTCGTTGCTGGCACAATCATGGTGACCGGTTCTTTAGTATGGTCATTCGTCGTCATCATGGCGGTCGGTTCCTGGGTGTGGTCACTACGCCGTTTTTTCTTTCTTCAATACTTACCAACGCAACTCAAACATACGACATCCGTCGATAGTTGGCGCTCGAACCTCACACAACGCCATCTACCAGACAAAAACCATACCTAATAGATCGACACGACATCTACCGGACAAAAACTATACCTGCTCTCCCGACACGCCATCTATCGGATAAATACTGTAACACTCTCCACTTTCCATCTCCACTACTCCACCTCTGAAGGTGATTCCAAAACCCGCAATATCTACTAGCTAGGTTCGTTACTTTGTCTGGGGTAGTTCCTTATGTAAAACTAAACTACATTGTATTTTAATTAATATAACTTATCTGCTAAAAATCACTTTGCGCAACACTCATAAACAAATTTCTATATAATTCACGATACGGTACTATCTTGCTAAGTACAATATGATATAATTTAAAATTTCGCATCAAGCAAAATTATTCTAAAGATAGGTACTGTAACACCGCGTTTGCATGTTATACCAAAAAAAAGGACTACAATTTTTAGCGCAACAAGTACATACCTACTAGTGCGCACGTACATAAATTTTAGCAATATTTAAGTTACGAAACTATTTTGGAGTACTATTACGCACACATGCAAAATTCAATATAACTCATGTTACGGAACTATTTTGCAGTATATTTAAAGCAAGTAAAAAACATAAAAAATTAAAATTTGCATCTAATAAAATTATTCCAAACTTAGTAAGTTAACTCGTTCACATGTTGTACTAAAAAACAACAGTTTCTAGTGCAACGAGCACCTAGAAGTACCCATACGCATATGTTTCAATATAAGTTATGTTATGGAATTATTTTGCAACATATTTTAATACAAGATGATCAAATAATTAATTTTACATCTAAAAAACTAATTCCGATGTGAGCGAGATGTGAGTTTACCAGCGCGTACTTAGCGCAATGACTACAAGTACGCACCCACACAAATTTCTATATAGCTCCCGTTATTGAACTATCTTGCTATATACCTACTCGTACAGTAGAGTCCGTTTATAATGACGAATTGACAAACACGTCATAATAAGCGGACGTCATACAAAGCGTTTTTTGAAATGAAAATCCTTTGTTATGTAAATATGTACATATGTACTTAGGTATTTTAATACAGAAACATAGTAATTACATATGTATCCATACATATTAAATCAAAACCAAAATTGCACGTAATCAGCACATTATAACACATACCAGTGTATTTTTTACGGTAAGTAATCTGTGATTTTTGTCTGCTTTTGTTTTTTTCATTTTATTGTAATAACATTCTTTAATACTATTGTGTATAGAAGACATTGCTATGGTCAAATTATCATTTTCAATATTGCTGTGAACAAATCGTGATAATAATTCTGCAGCTTTTAATGCCTCCTCTGCGGTAGGTAATGGTGCTTCCTCAACTTCCTCTTCCCCATCACTTTCAAGTTGGTCCTTAGCACTAATGTTCTGTACGATATTTTCATCAGAGGGTTCTTCGAATGTGAGAAGAGCGCTATCGATGTCAACATAGTCTTCCCACATTTCTGGTGCTGCTAAAGAATCTGAATTTAGGTTTCGTGACCACAAAGATAAAGGAATGTCATCTTCTTCATCGAATTCATGTTCTAAACCATCGTGGCTTTCTATGAATCCTGCCTGTTTGAAACAGTTATGAATGGTACTTTGTGACATTTTATTCCAGGCATCATTAACCATCAGATGTGCATCTAGCACCGTTATTTTTGTAGAAGAGTTGTTTTCATTAGCATCAACACAATTAATCATTTCAAGGTTCTTCCTAAAATTCATTTTGAGTAATCGTATTATTCCCTGCTCCATTGGCTGTAGTACTGATGTTGAATTAGGCGGAAGGAAAGCAAGTGTTATAGACTTTAAATCAGTAACATTTGGATGCGCCGGGCAATTATCAACCAGCAATAGAATCTTTTTCTTCTTCTTCACCAAATCACGATCCCTATCACGAAGCCATTTTTCAAAAAGTTCTGACGTCATCCAAGCTTTACGATTGATAGCATAATCGACAGGTAATGATTTGACACTTCTAAAACATCTTGGTTTTTGTGACTTTCCAATAATGAGCAATTTCTTCTTCGCTGTGCCACTCATATTCGCTGCTACCATGACAGTTATTCTATCTTTTGACAACTTACCTCCACTACAATTTTCACAATTAAATTTTAAAGTTTTATTCGGCATTAATTTGTAAAAAAGTCCAGTTTCATCAGCATTAAATATATCATCATCAGAAAACTGTTTTCGTAAATTCGGCCACACAGATATCAACCAGTTTGTTGTTGAATTTTGATCAACAGACGAAGATTCACCGACAATTTTTTCCGCCACAATGTTATGTCGAACTTTGAAACGACTGATCCAACTTGCAGAACAATTGAAGTCGAGAATACCAAAACGCGCGGCAAAACCATTTGCCTTTTCCTGTAGCTTAGGGCCGCTGACAGGTATTCCTTTGTTTCTCATGTTTTTAAACCAATGAATTAATGCTTGATCAACATTTTCTTGTCGTGATTTTCGAAGCCTCTTCGGTTTCAAAACATTTGAATTGAACGATTGCTTAATACGGTTCTTGTTTTTGAAAATCATTGAGATTGTTGAATGACCCACGCCAAATTCCTTTGCGAGACGTGAGTTAGATTCTCCATTTTCTAATCTGCATATTATTGCACTTTTTTCCTCAATTGTAAATGCTTTACGTCGTTGAGATGACATTTTTTTTCACAGTAACAAATCAATTACTTACTGAGATTCAAAAGAGAAACGAGCCACGAGCCACGTGGCGAACGTCGTCGGGAATCAACGAACATTACCGGAGGTGTAAAGAATCATGTCGGTCATTATAACCGGACATAATCTATTAAAAATGGGTCATAATAAGCGACATGTCACTGTACGGGAAGTCATTATATCCGACTTTTATATATAGAATTTTATATGAAAACCAAACTTTGTAGTGTAATTACGTCATAATAACCGGTTGGTCAAAATAGACGGATTCATAATAAACGGATTCTACTGTACAAAATTTTAACATTATTTTTACTACACATTTTAAACAAAACATATTTATTATGGTAAAAGAATGTAAAAGAGTAGTCAAAATAAGGAGACCCATGCTTCAAGGTCTCATGTTATTCTTATGGATATCCGGTTCGTTAATTTCGGGATTGTTCGGCAATGTTTGTATGTGGAGTGGAGAGATTGGGGCACGAAGTATAGATATAAGGAGTCCGAACGGTATAGGCTTTTTCGTCGTAGTCATGGTTCACAATTATATACAAAGCTAATAGTTCTCTTTTCTGCCACTCATTGCGCTTGAATCACTAGTGAATCAATGTACGTTGGTTCGTGTTCATAGCAACATTGAGACAATTTGTTTACATGACAAGTGTTTTTGTGTTGAGATACTTCTGTGATTATTATTACACGTGCTGGTTCTTGTGAATGTTTAATTGAAGTCACCACCTCTAAAAATACATATTTCTTAACTTTGTCGAATGCAAGTTATCCATATTGTTAACTTTTATATGTATGTATACATTAATTTGAATTGAACGTGATAGTATTATTTTTTGAACCAATTTATTTATTGAAATTAGTAGTAAAAAAATGGGAAGGTGTTGTGCTATTCCAGGATGTTTTAGTGGCTGAAAGACTAGTGAGAAGGTAGAAAAAGTAGTTTTATTCAAAGTAATCGTGTGCTGTGAGTAATATCTTTGAAAAAATATGTGTTATAAACAATTAATTTATAACTAATAGCCCAAAGATTTAAAATATGTCATAATTTCATGTATCTTAGGAATATTGGCGGTGTCCATATAATGGTATTTAAACGCGTACACTAACGCATAGTGGCGCCCTCTATTAGCGAATGTTTGGTCCCTAGATGGTGACCATTAATTTAACATGACGTTCGGACTCCTTATATCTATACTTCGTGGATTGGGGGTACGGTAGTTGACAATTGACGTCACGAAGTATAAATATATGGCGCACGAAGATTAGATATAAGGAGTCCGAACGTCATGTTAAATTAATGGTCACGATCTAGGGGACCAAACATTCGCCAATAGAGCGCGCCACTATGCGTTAGTGTACTCGTTTAAATACTAACTCGTACATTACTATGGACACCGCCGGAAAAAAATTCAACATGAAACAAGAGATAATCCGTGACACGAAGTATAGATACTGAGATAATCTGAAAAGCTAAAAAAAATCAGATATTAATTAATAATCATAAAAAAAAAATTAGCAGGAACCACACCATTTTACTCAAAAATAAAAAAAAGAAGAATGCAAAGAAAAGGTTTATAAATAAATTAAGTAAATAAATACAAATTGCTTTAATTTTTATTAATATAATTTAGAAAGCTTCCGGCATTTTTAGTTTTAACTGTCCTCTCGGTAGCACATTTGTTGAAACATTTGTCCTCGCATTATTAAAAAATTGTTAATTATTTTTTTTGGTCAATTTTTTTTTATGGTCTTCACAGCCAACGAAAATTGTGATTTTCCTTTTTAAAACGTCGTCCAGTATTTCAAACATGGTATCAATTTTGACTGTTTTTGTGTCTACCACCATTAGCACAATTTCTTCCAAGCTTGAAATTAAATGAAACAACGATTCACTTGGATAAATTAACGCACCTTTGTCCATATATGTTATATATTTGTCCCGAGCCTTCACTGTTCTTATGTGCATAGCTTTTGTGCAATCGAAGCATTTGGAAAATCTACTTATTTTACGGGCTATATATCCCGCAATATAGGAAATGACATAGTTGCTACTTTGTGCAATCTCATAATCATGGTCCACCGAGCTTAATAATACTCCAATGTCAATGTCATCGCTGGTATTTCCGTCTGTATTGCTAAGATTTCCAGATGCATTTTCAATTTTTGAATTAATTTTCTTGCTCCAGTTGTCCTTATTTGTATTACTTGCTTCAAATGATTCCCTAGTCAGCATTAGGGAACATAACAACTCTCCTGCAGTCACATTGGATTCTTTTGGAGCTGTGATCATTGCACCATTTGTGAAAATAAAATAGGGTCACACGCACTTCTAGCAATACCAAAAAATTTCTAAAATTATATAATTGCGTTATTAAATGATTAGAATTAATCACAATTATAATAAAAAAGACAAATTTTCTTAAGAGTTACTTTTAAACTTATTAGTGAAACAGTAACGAAAAATGCACAATAACTCACTTCAAGGAAATCTTGTGTTAAACGAGAGGTCATTACATAATCATAATTACATTCGTGATGCAAAAAATTTATTAATTCTATCGTAGATCCTAGCGAAATTTTTAGTCCAGTCGGGGTACTAGTTGTTATTGCTAAATAGAAGTTTTTCAGCTTCTCTACGTCGATTGACTCACCAACTTTTTTCCTTCGTTTAGCTTCTTCTATTTTTTCTTTAGCTATAGTCTCCCAATTTCTTACGAAAGTGTCAAAGTCAACAATAGCCTATCAAAAAGTAAGAAGTTATGGCGAGTTATTAATAACAAATTTCAAATAATCCAACAAATTCGTTTGAAGAATATTTAGGGCACCTTTCTCGAAACATTATCATCAACAGGTCTTAAAGCATCAGCGGGAGTTCTAGATGACATAGCTTTAATTAATTTGTTTACTTTCTCGATAAAAGTTATGGTACTGTCACAGTCATGTAATTCACTAGAATTGGTTTCATCTTTCAATATCTTCATTGCATTTGAGACAGACTCAGAGAATAGATATAAGAAATTGATTAAAAGTATTGAGTTATTTGGTAAGTACTTTATTGTAAATCATATATTCACATATATTACATCACATACAGTACATCAGATACATTCATGCGCATACCTCTGTAGCTAATGGAACATTCATCTTTTGGTAGCCCTCGGGATTAAGATGGTAAGGAGTCAATTTATAAGCCATTTTTAGATTAGCTTTTAAATAATTATCATGTTGTAACAGAGCGCTCCAATGTTTTTTTTACTACTCCCTCCGGAGTCTGTAAGAATTAATATAAAAATTACTTTAGTTTGTCCATATTACAATATTACCCAGAATGCAGGCTGTTCCCTAATTTTGTTCCTAAATTTTTTTAATAAATGTGGAAAATCGGAAAAGAACCAGAGACGCCGTGAAAAATTGTACGGGTGTTCTCAACTATAATTTCCATCCCGTATGCCAAGCAATTTCCATACACCGCGATTCCATTGGGCTGCATCTGATACAATTCCGTCAACATAAAAACCAGCTTTCTCTAGTTGAATAGCAATTTTTGAAGAATTTCGCTGGTCACTGAATCTTTGCTTAAAAATAGACCCACAACTTGCACCCACTTTCCCTGAAAAGGTTGAGACATAAAAACCAACGAGCCGTAAGAATTGTATATTAAAGTGCCCCTTTTTGATAGATTTCCATACGTGAACCTTTGAATTTCAGGGTATCAAAAATCGCCTTAGGAAATCCAAAAGCGCTATCAAGTTTTTGTATGTATCTCATTAAAGTGTCTTTACATGGTAATGGGAGAATATTTTTCTTCCGAACGTGTTCATATAGTGAACTACTTTCAATACTCATTAAATGACATTCATATATCCATTCAACGGAATATCGACGTTGCTTAGGACTCTTCGCTCTTGCAGCCATTAAACAATTTTTAACAGTTTCTTGCTGTAAAATGAGTAAATCTGAAATTTTCTCAACTAAAACTTCTTCTTTAATTTCAGCAAATTTATTTCTTAACTGTAATAATTGCCATTTTAAATTTTCATTCTAAAAAGGAAACATTCAAAAATGTTTAGAAAATAAATACAAACTATTTGAAACAATCACGCCAACGTCCAACGTTGAAGATAAAAAAATTAATCATATTCATAAAAAAGAAATTATCAAAATTTCTCATTTTTAGGAATTGTCGTACAAAAAGTTTATAACTTCAAGCACATACAAAAATACTTTACGCGGTTTCAATTTCACAGTGCTCATTAGCAATTAATATTTTTTAATTGTGTGATGTTATTTAAAATTTTAATAAAAACAAAACTTTACTTTACAACTCGATTGAGCTTTCTACGTTGTAATTTATAACTATGTTTAAAATTCATCCATCGAGCTTCCTCATTTGTTATCACTGTCTTACGTTTTTGCATCAAACGTCTCAATTTTAAACAAGTGATACATATGTACTCCATAACTCTTCGTTTATACCTTTCCTACGGCAATAATATACCCGCACAGGTGACTGAACATCTATAAAATTAGATAGTGATAGTGATTTCCTTTGTTATTATAAATTAAGGAGTCTCTAAATTCATGAATACTTTTTGTCATCGTATCCGGTTCCACTGCAGAAAAAGCAATTTTCTAAAGCGTCTAATAATTGCCAAACACAAGCCATCGATGAAATATTTACTTCCATATCAATAACAATATTAGTTTTCGCATTAATAATCTATAACAGAAGAAGTAGTAGAAGAGTACTATTTAAGTAATTAAATTAATTCCAATGATTTCTATTGAAGTTTCTTACCATTACTTTCCAATTTGCATCAATTTTAACATGACAAACTAATTCCAATTTTGAACCTATATATGACAACGAAATTAAAGAATTTATTACAACTGTCCAACACCAATTCTGTCGCAGTGACTGAGTTTCTAATATATTTTGGATTGAATGAAAAGAAAATTCCTCAGTCCTATTCATGTCATATTATGATTGCAGTCACCAATTATTGAACGATCAACAATATCTATATCAATTATATTTTCGTTGCTATCACTAATAATATTAGACTTAGGTTCCGCTTCCTTCTTTAAATGAACTCGTTGAAATTCATGTACATGTACACCACCATCTTTTAGAACCGTTCGATCAGTTTTAATCACATCCTCTGGATTAAAATGTAATTCACAAATATATCTGCTAGCTTTCAAATTTTTGCCAAGAGCAGAACTCCATTTCTTGCACAATTTTGGGTCCTTAAAAAATTATATTTCAATATTTCACAAGATACATGAAATTATGACATAGTTTAAATTGCCATTAGTTATAAATTAATTGTTTATAAATATTATATGTTTCTAAAGATATTACTCACCTTGGTGCTTTAAATAAACTACTTTGTCTAATATTCTACCAGCTCTCGGCCACTCTAAATATCCCTGGAATAGCACAACACCTTCCCATTTTTAACACTACTAATTTTCAATAAATAAAATAGTTCAAAAATAATACTATCATGTTCCAATTCAAAATTAATGTATACATACATATAAAAGTTAACAATATGGGATAACGCATTCGACAAAAGTTAAAAATATGAATTTTTAAATTTAAGTGAATTCACTAAACATCTACAAACCAGCACTGGTTCACGTGTAATAATAATCACGAAGTACTCCAAAACGGTGCAACGTCAAGCAAACAAATTCCTTTCTCAATGTTATGAACACGAACCAACGTACATCAAAGGTTCACCGCAAAACCATGCAGCCAGTGGCAGAAAAAGAGAATCGGTTCTTGTTTCTGCCATTCTCGTTAAGTGTGTCTTCGTTCCATCTGTTTCTTCGGTGACTGGTCCATTCATTGATGTTCTCGATATGGTATGCTTTTCTTTATATCGGTGTTCCTGATTCTATCTCTAAGAGTCTTGTTCTGATGCAAGTCGTAGGATTTCATCTCTGCCAGCGGCTAATACATTCTTGCTGTTTGCGTGGTTTCCCCGGCGTAGTTTCACAGGTATAGGTAAGGATTGGGCGATGACTGCCTTGTATATTCTGCTCTTTGTGGCTATTTGCAGATTGTTATTCCTCCAATCATGTCGTTGAGGCAGCCTGCTATTCTGGGTATGCTTTATCCACCTGTGACTTTAATTTTCGGTTGTCCTGTTGCTGGTTGGGGTAGGGGTGCCGCGCTAATTGGAACGCTGACCTGTTCGATGATTTTTCCATCGATTTCTAGTTTGCACCTTATTGGCTTATGCTGATTGTCATGCACTTGGTTTTTCCGATGATATCTGCATATTAAACATTTTCGCAGTGGTGTTGAATTCGTGAAGTATTCGGGTTGCAGATCATCCTCGCTCTGCCAGTAGAATTGCGTCATCTGCGTAGCAGACTACGCTTATGGTAATATCGCCCATGGGGTACCCATATCAAATGTTTGTTTTTGACCTTTTCACGATTCTCTCATCCATAATTATATTAAATAATAAAGGGCTGAGGGAGTCGCCTTGTCTGGATGCCCGTTCCTGTGGGTATGGTCTCGCTTAATTGTCCGTGAATTTTGGCTTCTCATGCTGTTATTTGTGCTATATTCTCGATGCATGATTATTCTCAAAGCGAGATGTTCTGCTTATATAGCAAATGCACAATGTCGGTTATTTTGACTTTATCAAACGCTACCAGGGTCTATGTGCTACAGAAAAGCTGGTCTGTTGAATTCTAATGATTTTTCTTTCACTCTGCCTTAGCGATAAATATGGCATCATTACAAGATCTTCTCCTTGTGAAACCCCTGCTGTTCGGTTCTCCAAATAAAGGTCGCCTTCCAGTCTCTTGCTATTATTTTGTTGTTAACTTAAGTAATGGTGCACAATAGACACACCTCTGTAGTTTCTTTTTGATCCGATTTTTCTCCTTCTTATAGAGAAGGATAAGAACAATTTTGTTTCCAGTCCTGTGGTATGTATTGGTGTTAATTAATGCGTTGATTAGTTTCGTGAGTTGGTGTATGAGTGGTTTGCCCGTATTTCAGTAGAAGTTCATTTGGTATTTTCTCATCATGCCCTGCCGATTTTCTTTTCGATTCTTCAGCGTTTTAATTGTTTCTTCAACTTCTTGTTCTGTTATCACGATGGTTTCCCCAGTTATTGCTGTGGATTGGATGTAGGGGCTTAACACGTCTGTTTGGTCTGCGTACACATTTCTTTGAGATATTTTATCCATTGATCTTGGATATGCGATTTCAATTATTTCATTTATTTCCCTTTTCGCTGACCGCGTATAAATTCCATATCTCTTTGAGACCGTAGATGTCATGTTCGAGTTGTTTGGAGAACTTGTTCCAGAATTCTGCTTTTTGACCTGACCCAGTTCATGGGTCTCATTTCTTGTTCTTTGTATGCTCTATAAGATCTTTCTGTTCTATCTGGACCTGTATCTGAGGTATGCCCGTTCTTCTCTGCATTTGTTCTAATCTCTTCACAGAACCACGGGGTCTTCCTCTTAATGGTATTGCGTTTTTGGTTGTTCTTTCTCCAAATGCTTCCTTTGTAAGAATTATAATGCAGGTTTTGAGTGTTTGCCATCTCTCCTCAACATTCAGAATCTGTTAGCTGTTTGTTGTTGATCTGAGTTTCAAGTCTGTCCCATATAGTTTTCTTGTTGATTCTACATGAATGTTTCTATATTGATCTTAGGTGTTCCTGCTTTTGGGTATTTGTTTGGGTATTATTTTATTTATTCGATTATCGCTATTAGTGTATGGTCACTTCCTAGGTTTGCAGAGGTTAAGTAACTTTTGTATCCAGTATTGTTCTTTCAGGTGTATCTTACATTGGTTATTATAAAGTCAATCATTGACTGGTGACCTCGACTGTTGCTAAAAGTGTATTTGTAATTACTGCTATGTATGAAATAGGTAAGTAGTAATTCTAGCTCGTTTGTTGTGCATAGGTTTATAAGTAGTTCTCCATTTTCATTTTGTTCCGGCTCATTGAACTTTTGTTTAACACCTGGTATTGGGTCATTTCCAACTGTGAATTGGAAGTCACCCAGAATGATGACTGAGTCTGTTTTGGGATTTCTGTCCACGTTTGTTGTAATTGGTTAAAAAAGGCTGATCTAATAAATTCTGTCTGCAGTTTCTGGAGCATAGATTCCAATGAAGCTGAAATTGCTCTGTTCTTTTGAACTTTATTCGACCACTATAATGGGAGTTGATATATTTCATTCCACGATTCTACATTGGCATATTTAGTATGGATGAGAATTCCTACGCCTCTTCTTTTAGCTCTTGTTTCTTTTGCTACCCACTGTAAAAGTATGTATTTATCTTTATAATGGTCTGTCCTGCTCCTTCTTTGTGTGTTCTGAATCGCGCATACTGCCGATTTTCGTTAGTAACTCATGGCAAAGTTCTTGTTCTCTGTTTCCCTCAGTGATAAAACATTCCATGTAAATTCCGAAGATGTGTTTCGTTTCCATTTCTTTGCGTATTTGTCGTCGTCGTTGTATCATCCGTTCCATTCCGAGGCGTAGGCAAGTTTCTTTATAATTTGGGATTATTTTACGGTGGCAGGTCGCTAGCCTGACCCTAGAACCTTCCCTCTCTTTACTACACGTGGGTTTCAGGACTGTCAACATAACCTCGAAACTACTGATCCGTTTCGAGGCATGTTGGTGAGTTGAGCTGCGATTCTAAAGCAAAAATCAAAAGATAATCTAAGACATCTAAGATAAGTATTGCATCGTCTAATGTAAAGAGTTTATACCAAATTGCCAAACTAGAATCTGCTTGAAAGAATGCACATGACTAAATTTTCATATTTTAGGTATTAGGAAATGGCAAGTACAACATGCCCAAACACTAAGTGTATTGCTCAGCAAATAATGACTCATATCAGCAGAATAATGCTGCAAAACTCCAACAGACGAAATAGGGCACAGAGTTATCAATAAGTAGTTTCGAAATGCAATTAAAGCAGTGAAGACCATGCCAGCCCCTGGGTCTGATCATAACATACTTGTGAGTAACCTAGAAGAAATTATCAAAGAAGAAGCAAATGCCAAGTATGGACACAAGAAAACTAAAAGATCCAAACACTTGACCATTGATACAAAATGAATTAACAGAAGAACTAGGAAAGGTTAGCCCTATTAGCATATCAGATAGAGAGCAAACTTGAGAGATAATCAAGACAATCATGAATGAAGTAAGTACAAAAACAGTACTGTTGTACTAGCAGGTAAATCTGGCCAGTTGGGAGGTAGGAATAAACATGAATATCTTAAAAACAAAAGTGATGCCATGAGTAAAAACACAGATGCAAATAAGTTTAAATAGGAAATTGATTTACTATACAAGGTTAGGACTTCTAGAAATTAAGAACCATTTTTTAAAGGAACCAAGGGTCTAATTGTTTTAATCTTTCTAAACTATCCAACTGGATATGTTTGATGAGACTTGGAAGTTTATGCAGAAATATTAAAACTCACCAATGCAAACTGTAGAGAATTGAAGTCTACATCTCAAATTCAAGGTGCTAAAACATTGTGTTGCAATATTATCAAACCAATTATTGCTTAACAGTATTGTGTGGCTTTGTAAGCATTGATGAAGAACTAAAATTAATAGAAGATAATAGAGTATTCAAACTGGTAAAAAGACCTGTAGATGCTAGAGTGGTTTTAAGTTTTCTAGATGAAAATGAGTATGAGTTGAAAGAAACTTACGTTCCAGTCTCAAGAATTCCAGTAATTAGATTAGCACTAGCAATTATAAATAAACTTGATATAAACGCAGGACAAATTAATTCTCACCGAAAAGCAGTACGTATAAACGTTTGTGATTGCACAATCTACAAATCTGCTATATTCCTAATCTATAATTGAAGGATTTTGATGTTCAGTGGAAATTACAAAGAATGGTTATAGCCTAATAATATAACACTTTTGATTATAAAGTCTAGAAATGCAGTTGCAACTTTAATATATCTTGTACACAAAGCTTGTAAAAGTACGTGCTATCGGTGCGGAGCTATATTTAAAAGTGACGGTGTTCAAGCGTAAGAAACTGCTCCAGAAATTCTTGTATTTGCTTCTAGCGTCTAATAGATGGTGTCTGTTGAATGAGCAAAGTAAATTATTTCTGACATTTCCTCTCTTTGCACATACATCTTAAACTATAGTGAATAACATATTAATTCAAAAAATGAATCTATGATCGGCTAACAATCATGAACACACCTAATTTAAATATTGATCGCAAAAATAAAAGATTAAAATTTATCAGAAGTTTCTATTAAAATA